TAATGGCGGCAGCCCGGTGGGAGAGTCTGTGGGCGGCGAGACGCGCTTCGCCTACTTCCCCACCGCCGCCGTTAGCGACGGGACGGCCGTTTCCGTGCAGGCGGGCGCCGACCCCGCCATCACCCAGGCAGGAGGTGAGGGGGGGGGGGCAGGGGGGGGGGAGGGGGGGGCAGTGGGGGAGCCCAATACCAATACCAATGTTACCAATGTAACCGTGCTGAACTTAGCCGTCTGTTTGTTCAGCTCGGTCCAGCTAGAAGTGGCCCTGTTCTCGTCTCTTCCTTTGTACCGTCGTATTTTACCTCTGCGTTGTGTTTGTTTAATGATGGCCACGAGACAGAATATGTTGATCGACGCCTTTAATCTGCGTGGAACCGAATATGGACTGGTCACATATGGCTCTTCAAACTGGCAACCGCACCTCTCGCGCCCGTCTCGCATATAATGGCCTCTTATGTCTCTCAGGTCAGTTCTATGTGATGATGAGCCCCCCCGAGGTCCTCCAGACGGCGAGCCCTCGCACCATCGCGCCGCGAACGCACACATACACCACGTGAGTACCCCCCCCAAGATGGACGCCGCCCCCCCCCCTCGCCGCCACCGATTCGATTGGTGTTGTTGTACAACGCTCAATCAATCAATCAATCAATCACTTTATTTTGGTAAATTGTCCACATTAAACACAAGAAACAACTAAAGAAAAAAAGAAAAGAACAATAGACAGCGCAGCACTTTAACAACTGCTGTGCAATTGTATAATATTTATTGACCTGTGTAATATGTGTACTGTGTGTGAGCCATCAATGATTGTATATATTTTAGTCACCCAAATCTCTGCGCTGTGTTGCTTCCTTGTATATTTGTTTGCTTTTGCTGTACTTTATGCACCTTTTCCTCCTTTTGAACTCTAACGGATGTGTGACCAGTGCATTTCTCCACTGTGAGATCCATAAAGCTCTTATTTATCTTATATTATCTTATCTTATCTTGTTTCCTCCACCGTCTGACACCCCCCTCTGTCCCTCAGAGACCTCAGTGAGAGCGAGACGTTGCAGCCTGGAAGCACCAGCTGGTGAGGATGCCTCCACCCCTCTGCTGAGTCACATTATGCATCCTGAGAATAATTGCTGAGTCAGAGTTCATGTGTCAAAGAGTCAAAAAGCGTTGTTATTTCGGAGGGCAATTTCTGAGTCATATCATTCATCCTGAGGGAAATTGCTAAGTCGTAAATTGCTAAGTCATATTCATCCTTAGGGAAATTGAGTCAGAGTTCATGTCTGAAAGATTTTAAAAAGCTTAATTCATTCTGAGGGAAATTGCTGAGTCAGATTATTCATCCTGAGGAAAATTGCTGAGTCAGAGTTCAGGTTTCGGAGATTCAAAAAGCTTTGTTCATCCTGAGGGAAATTGCTGGGTCAGAGTTCATGTGTCAAAGATTTAAAACAGATTCATTCATTCTGAGGGAAATTGCTGAGTCAGATTATTCGACTTGCTGTAACCTGTGATACAAATTGAAATTAAAGAAATGCAACTAAAGCAGTGATGAGTTACAGCAGCATTTTAAAATACAACGAATAAGTACTGAACAGAGAAATGCTCAGTGGATGTTTGTGGGAGAATAAACTGATGGTGTGTTTTCAGGAAGGTGGACGGACCGCGAGCGCCCCGGGACGAGCGGCGGCGAGCACAACACAATGAAGGTCAGAGCTCTGCTTCCCCCGTTTCCAGCCCCTCAGTTGAAGGCCCTTTGTCCTCATTTCAGGAGTAAAACAAATAGTTTTGGGTCACTTATGAGGGGGAAATGACTGGAAATAACAAGTAAAACCATCGAAAATGAGATCAAAAGATGGATGGAAACACAAATAGACAAAATAAAAAGCAGAACAACTTCTCATATTAAATTTTAGAGCCCTTTATTTTCATGAAAAACATTTAATTACCAGTTTGTATTTGTCTGTGTTCATCTGGGGAAAATGGTCTTTAGGCTTCAGCCTAAAATGAGCAGAAGTCCCTTAAAAACTGTTTATTTTCCTGAATTCAGCCTCCAGCAGGGCTCTGTCTGCTCAGTCATCTTCTTGGATTTCTGCTCCCAGCTCAGATATTCGGCCGTTTTTGGGACATTTTGGGAGAAAATGTAATAAATATTTATGTTTTCCCGATTTTTCTCCAACATGGTCGACAATCTGATCTATAACTCCCCTTTTTTCCAGAAGCAGAGGACAGTTTAATAGAAACAACTCCTCAGTTCTGAGTGGAAAAAGTCAGAAATCCAACAGATTTGCTGAGTTGTGGGTGTTTTTGCTCGTTCGCAGTGGAGAGAAGAAGAAGAGACAAGATCAACAACTGGATTGTCACGCTGTCGAAGCTGATCCCCGACTGCAGCGTGGACAGCAGAACTGGAGCGGTGAGCAAGCCAGAACCCACAGAAAAACCACTCTGGAAAAGCACTTTTCAATAGGAGGGGCAGTGTGTAGTATTTGAAGTATTTTACTAGCTAAAATCATTCTCTTCATTTCTAAATGTGGAAGTCATGCTGTCATTACTTCTTGATGCACGGCGGCCATTAATATGTCTGTAAAATAGCTTAAAATAGCTTTGAAATGTCTAAAAATGGGTCAAATGGGTCAGTCAAGTGACTGAAACCAGCTATAATAAGTGAAATAATAATCCTAATAAGTTCGTTAGAATGCAGAATTCAGTTTCACCGTTAGATGGAGGAATTCCTTTCAGCTCAGAGTAGCCTGGTGAGGCTTTAAAAGTGGATGTTTGACAGTCTCAAACCGTCTCGTCTTCAGAGTAAAGGAGGCATCCTGTCCAAAGCCTGCGACTACATCCGGGAGCTGCGTCAGAACAACCAGCGTCTGCAGGACAGCTACAAGGAGGTGGAGCGGGTGGAGATGGACAACGAGCTGCTCAGACAACAGGTGAGCTCTGGTTTTCTTCCATCTAACTACCTAAAACGACACAAGTGGCTCCATTTAATGATCTTATTCTGGATAAACATCAAAATCTGAGCCTCCGATCCAAACTAGAGTCCAGAGAACTCGGAGTTCTGCTGGTTTTCCTCCAGAATGAGGTTTCACTTCCTGGAAATGAGCTCTGTTCCAGCATCCAGAAATGAAGGAAACTTTGTGCTGATGTGGTAAAACCAGTCGACTAAAGGCTGGAACTCAGAGCTGTGGATTATTTTAGACTTCCTGTTTTAGAAAACAGCCACTCTGAGCTGGAGGACAACAGCTGGACTGTTTGCTGCCATTCAAACCCCTGAAATGCTTCAGATCAGCATCCTGATCAGCTCTGACAGCAGCAGGTTTTCCATCCAACTGTGAGCCTCTGACTAGAACCAGAGAGGAAACTACGCACACTTTCTGGTTCTGCCTCCAGAACCAGCTCTGATTTCCACTAAACTAACTGTTCCAGCAAATGTTACAGACAGAAGTGGAAACATGTGTTCAGGGGCTGGTAACAGCTTCACTGAGAAGCAGAAATTCCACATTTGAATCTGAAAAAGCTGAAAAAATCCGACCAATTAATTTGGGGATTTAGGAATCAGATAAATTGCTAAAAGGAATAAAAATAAATCAGAATATCTCAAATGGAAATGGTTTAAGGTCACAGAACAGGAGGTGTTCTTACAAACTCAGGAACCAGAACCTTCTGGAAGCCTCCATCTGGATGGAGCTCCTCCCTTTAGAGCAAAACTTTAGCTGAACAGTTTTCCAGTCAACCTTTCCGACGCCGCCGGCCTGCTTTGTTGTTCCAGATCGAGGAGCTGAAAAACGACAACGCGCTGCTCCGCGCCCAGCTGCAGCAGCACGGCGTGGAGCTCAACGGGGACGCCACGCCGCAGTGATGGTGGACGCCTCCCACCTCGCCTGGACCCAGGCCAGAGGCGGCCTCCACCCTGAGCTGGACCACAGAGAGGAGGTCGCCCGGCAACGGTTGCCGGCCGCCGCTCCGTTAGCCGAACCTCTCTGAACCCGCCACCATTTACTTTGAACTTTTCCACCTTTTTAAAAAATATTTTGAACTCCTTCCTGCTTATTGGCTGTGTGTGAAACTACTAAATGTCAGATGAACAGTCGCTCCCATTCTGGTTTAATTTATTCAGCAAGGTGCTGGCAGAGCGGCGCTCGGACCCGTGACGGCGCTCCACGCCGCCTCCTTTACTGTCAGCCGATCGTGGTCCTCTGCCAGTAAAAGCTGGAGGGGCTTTGGGAGCTGGAGCGCTGCCATGTTTGTCCATGTAGCTCAGGTAACGAGGACGGAGCACCTCAGAGTGGTTCCCGACTCAACGAAGTCTTCATGAAGACAGCTTAGGTCTCCTTTGTCCTCTAGGTGCAATGTACAGACACAAATGATGTGAAGGTGGTTTTCAGCTAAAGAACTCCCAGGTGGGCATTAAACTTTGGGTTGTGAATCTGCGGGTCGCCGGGACGTCCTGGACTTCAGGTCTCGGCCTGCGTCGGCCCGGTTTCATCCCGGTCCAGCTGGATTTTAGTAGCTTTGTCTTGTTTTTTTTTTATAATAACCCCTCAAACGGAGACTTTGGGAGCCGTTGCTGCTGACTAAGTGGGGCCACAGGGGGTGTTAGTGATGACTTCCGACTAACCTGCTTTTGTCCACACTGCAAGTCACCACAGCATGGAGGTTTAACCACTGGCATGACTAAAACCTGAAACTTCAATAAAAACAGACGTGTTTATACCCGAGTCGTGTTGGTACAGGGGAAACCTTAAGGTTCTTTCTCTAAGCTGCCTCAAGTTTCTTTCAACATTTTGTGACCCACGGTGGTGTGTTTAAACATCTCTGCAGAGCAATATTTCAGGTCTCAAAAGCTGTAACATCTGAATTTATTAATAAACTTTACTAATTTACTAAAACCTTACGTGAAAATATATATATAATAGTGCTCCCCCTACTAATCACAATCCACTTTAACAGAAGTTAATTGCTGGAACAGCTTTTACCAAAGAAAGAGCTCCTTTAGTTTAAGCACAAAAATACTTGAACATTTAAAAACATTTTTTTAAACGGTTTCTGAACTTTATTGTGTCGGTTCGTTGGCCGGAGACTGCTTTAGTAACAGTTGCTAGGGAAACCCCGGTCCGGGACGCTACCAGCTTCACGCGCAGACGGGCCAGAACATTCTAGAACTCCCGTGAGTAAAATGGGATTTAAACGTCATTGTCGCGATGTTTCCGAACTAAGTTTTTTCCTATTTGATCTAAAACAAGAGCTCTTTAAATTTAGGCTGGAATTTGACATTTGTTTGAACAATTATTGGTCCAATGGACCGTTTGCTCAGAACCGAGCCAGTTCCATTTTTACTCTCCACTTACCTGATCCAGGTGGACTTGCTGTAATGGATCATTATCAGGAAAGCAATATCTAGGTTTACACTGATTAGAATTACATATAAAGTAAGATATTAACAGCCAATCCTTTAATGATTAAACCGATACAGCCATGGGGTTATTTGAGTTATATCAGCAGCCAAGTGCTATTTCAAAGTATTTGCTTTTCCACCAAAAGTGAAGTGTTACACTTCATTAAACAGTCCTAATTTATTTCTGTATTTAAATAACAAATAAAACAGCTGCAGATTTCCTGAAACCTGCAGATAAACCAAAACCTGCAACAGAAACTTGCACAGTACTTATGGTGACATAATAGAAATATGGATAAAATAACATCTGCCCCTCAGGTACGCATAAGAGGTGAAAGAAAATATGTTTTCATGAGTTTTATTCCAAGTTTTAAATATAATGAATGAAACAATAGCCTCTTTCTGCCTCTTTCATTATTCATTTAAACTCATTTTAAACATTTGACGTTACACAGCTGCTGCTGCGAGTCTGTAGGTTTAAGCTTGACACAATAAAAAGTCTGAACAGTGAACATCAGGATGTCGACACTTCCCGCCAAGCCTGGCCTGCGTCGCAGCGTTCCTGATTGGTTCGGTAACAACCAGCAGCTGTCCGCTACGGCCCAACATGAGCGCCACGTTTCCACCACCATCCGACAGGAGGGAAGGTCTCTGCGCAACCAGACCCGCTCTCAGGTGGGCGCTTGCCGGGTTTGTTGGCCCGATTTGAAGCCTGAGAATAAACCAGAGTAGATCAAGAGTACAAATATGAAATGTACTGGTCTCAGGCAAAGTAAATCAGCTGGGCCCTGACCCACAAACCTCCCTGAGAATCTCAGTTGGCCAGAGCCTCTATTTCTGGGTGTGATGGACATTTATCTTCTGGGCTGGTTCCGAAAGACTGGACACAACCGAGTGTTGTTGGCCAGTTATCTCTCACATGAACAGGCCAGCTGCTAATTCATGCAGATTTCACTGAAATGTGATCAGAAAGTGTGGATGTTGAGCTTGAAGATGAGTATCTACAGTAACAGAGAGAAGGAGAATCTGTGGGCTCAGCCAGAGAGTTTAACACCAGAGTCTAGTTCTAAAAGGAATAAGACAATCTTTAATTTACATGGATTATGTGATAGCATACAATGCTAATGGGAATAACTGGCATCCCGCCATGTTGCTGCTACCCTCTGTAGACGGTGTGGGATGAGAGCGACTCCTCTCGCAGGCTCCGGGACCGGGTTTGGGACGTGTCTCGATGGAGGGATGTGCTGGAGAGCTGTGCTCTGAAGGTGGACGACGAGATGGAGGCTCTGACTCTGGTGGGTGGAAAAACCTTTGACACCCCCACGAGAGGGAATTGTTGGGTTTCTGTAATCAACTTCAGAGTAGGGTCTGACCTGCTCTGTTTGGAAAGCGCTGTGAGATGACTGTTGTTGTGATGTGGCGCTATAAAAATAAAATTGAATTGAGAGCTTTGTTCTCCTCTGAGTCTGGGGTGGATGTGAGGGTTGTGCTGGTGTGTGTTGGGACAGACCAAAGAGCTGAGCGAGCAGGCCCTGGCCGCCACCGCCGTGCCCCTGGAGGTCAGCACCGAGTGCCTGACGCTGAGGGAGGGCCGGCAGGGCTGCGAGCTGGTCACCGACTCGGTGGAGGAGCAGCTCAGGAAAGAAGTGGAGCTGATTGAGCGGGTGCAGCTGAGCCTGCAGCAGCAGATCGACCAGGCCTTTGAGCAGCTGTGGTGAGCTCCAGCAGGCACTGACCGATGCTGGCCTTTGACCTCTGACCCCTGCCTATTAGTGCTGCACAATTAATCGCAATGTCATGCTGTGCAATTATGTAATCGCATAACAGACTGCGATTTGCGATTTTGTTAACATTATGGATGTTTGTGCCTGTGAAGGGGATTAAAAAAAAGAAAGAAAGAAACTCTTTATCTAACATTTTGAAAAATACAGATATTGAAAATAGAGGCATATCAGGTTTTGTATTTTTTTGTGTCATGTTTTTATGTTTTCAGTTGAAAAATATACTCATTGATTGTAATTCTCTGTGTAGTCCTTGATATTCAAGCATGCAGACGCATGACACCCTTCATTTATAATATCGTAATCGCAAATCACAATATAGTCCACAATAATCACAATCGCACATTTTCATCAAATCATGCAGAACTACTGCCTTCATTTTGCTGTCTAAGCATTCTGCAGGAGACTCGACACCAGCTGACCACCGACCTCCAGAACAAGATGGAGGCTCTGGAAATCGACAAGTCCTGCCTGTCACTCACGATAGAGTCATCCAATATCTCCCTGAAGACCAACCCGACCCGCATACCACCAGGGTAACGCTTCATGTTGGATGCATGTTCACAGTTTTAAACATTTATGTTCTTAAATATTCCACTTTTAAAGGTGACATTTTTTGCATTACCGGACTGTAAAACTCCCTAAACCCAACCCTAGTATTTTCAGTCTCTCTTTATTAAAGAAGCATTTCTCATGCTCATTTCCAAAGGATATCACACTAGCATCACATTATTAACATGCTTCCAATAAAGATGGATCTCTTAAATGATGTTTATATACTTAAAATGTAATAAACAGTGCACATGTGTTGCTATGAGTTATTCTGTGTAGCCTACATCTCCAGCTTGGTCCATTAGCATCCTTTGCTAGAAACTGCTCCTAGACCAGTCTGTCTCACACAGACAGTGTTTAAAAGAATATGTCACCTTTGATTCAGAGTTTTGGTCTTTGTGTGCTGAGATATCGATCAATGCAGGTCCAGCACCCCCCAGGAGTGGGTCCAGTTCAGCCAGTACAATGTGGTCCGTGCCCAGGAGGCCATGCAGGCGTCCCAGCAAACCAGGGAGAACATGGACCTCAGCAGAGCCCAGGTGGGTCAGACACCAGCCTGGCGTGGCCTTTGCTGGTCAAACAAACTTAGTGTTCACTTTAACTGGAGAAAGTCCCACGACAGATGGATCCACCAATCAGGAGGAATCTAGGAGTCTTTTTACAGCAACCTTTTTCGTTTTCTGTCTCAACCTGTTAAATGTCTTACTGTCCAATTAGCTGTCTTTACATGTAGAGTGACGTTTGTCGTCCAAACTATGGAAAACACAATCTTTTAATGTCTTAAAATCATACATTTGGGTTTTTAATGTTTTTTGTTCCATGATTTTATTATCTTTATTTGAAATGTGCTTAAATGTGTTAGAAAAGCGACGCTTTCCTTTATACTAACGAAATTACATTAAGTATTCAGTAATATTTCAGCCTCTATCAGGTCTTTTTCACCTGATTTAGAAACAAGAAATATCCTAAAACTGTCGTCTGCTAATTTATATTTTAGGATAGGACAGGACACTTTCATTACTTTATGGGAACACACTGTTACTTTATACTTTAAAAATTCATTTATCTGAATTTTTTTATGGCTTTAAGGGACCAAAAAACTCCTGAAATGAGTTCCTCAGAGGGCTGATAAGCCAATTTGGTCCTTGGTAAAATGCTTCGTCTTCATTCACTCTGATATTAGTGGGTCTCAGTGTCATTTGGATGATTAATTCTTGTACCTTGCAGCTGAGGAATGAGCTGGAGACTCAGTTTAGGGCCACTGAGTTTGCTCTCCGAAAACGCACCCACCTGGAGGAGCAGGCCCGGGACGAGCTGCAGTGGCAGAGCACCAAGGTTCGAGGAACTGGTCCGGCCTGGTCTGGAGCCTTGGGGCCAGAGCTGATGGAGGCTTGTCTCTGACCACACAGACTGAGGAGGAGATGGCTGAGATGGAGAGGGACATCCAGGGGCTGGAGGCAGACCTCCTGGCTAAGACCGCCTGCCTGAAGCTGGCTCACACCCGGCTGGACACCAGGACCCAGAGGCCAGGCGTGGACCTGTGCAGGGACCAGGTCTGTGGGCAGAGTGGGTGGATATGTGTGCTCAAAGTAGGGTGACCATATTTTGATTTCCAAAAAAGAGGACACTTTGCCTCCAGACGGATTAAGACAGGCTTCTCAGATGTTAATGAACATGCTTTATTATACCTCAATGGGACATGAATAACAATCTGTAACAACCAATAACACAATAATAGCCCTCCTTTAAAATACATAAATAAAATCAAATAATGATCTAAATATGAACTCTTCTGGATTAGAAAACAGAAACAAAATACTTCTTAAAAAAGGAAACAGTCTCACAATGATACAAACTTCACAAACAAACAGGATCTATACTAAGTATTGATATATACTATGAATACTATACTAGTATAGATCCTTTTTGTCCCACTTGTTGCGACCGGGACGGTACGTGGGAATTTGTTCCACACCCCAAAAACCTACGATAACTCCTTAATAAATAGTGCAGATAATTACACATAGCAAAAAAACAAATGCATCATATAAGAGAGATGTAAAAAGAAATGATCAATAAAAAGGGGTTTTATTGGCACTTTATCTCAGAGACTGAACGAAGGTAGAGGTGGAGACTGAGATACAGGACGTACCCTAACTTACTCTGACTTTCACTACATGAACTTTAAACTTACTTAGCTTACTTGTTTTTATTTAATTTTATATTTTATATATATTTTTCTATAAATCATCATATATTTGATCGAATTTCACTTATAAAATTTGTATGTTTAGGCATCGTAGGCAGAGCTTCTGCTGTATTCTGAGCAAAGCTCCCGTCGATTTAAGAATATGTTTACGGTCCCATGAAAAACAGTGAAAACTGGAAATTTTTATGAATCTATAATCCCCGTCCGGACGCCCCGGCTCAAGGTGTCCTGTCGGTGTGCAGGTGCAGCTCGGCCTGGTGGCTGAAGTCCAGCAGCTGGAGGCCACCATCCTGGTTCTGAGGCAAAAACTCTCCGAGGCCCAGTGAGTTCTTCTTCTTTACTTGAGCGGGCAAAGCCCATGTCAGAAATCACCTCCTTCTTCACCTGATTTTTTTATTTTTTTACTTGACTTTTGGCTCTTTTACAGCTGAAAATCCACACATTTTGTGTTAAATCAAACCTTCATTTTACAATCTCACCTGAAGCAGGTTGCTTCTCTCCGATGTCTGAGCCTGTTTTTGTGTTTTTTTTTGTGTTTCTGACATGATTTTGCTCCATTTTGTGTGTTGGAGACGATGGGCCTTTGTTTCTGATGTATATTTTTGTCTCTGTAGTAGTTTTGTGTCTCTGTGGTTGTTTTGTGTTTCTTTATGGTATTTGTGTGTGTTTTTGTAGTAACTTTGTACGTCTTTACAGGTTGTTTTGTGTCTCTGTGGTTTGCTTGTATCTCTTTGTGGTTGTTTTTGTGTCTCTTTATGGTAGTTTTGTTTCTATTTGTGGTTGTTTTGCGTCTCTTTGTAGTATTTTTTTGTCTTTTTGTGGTTATTTCGTACATCTTTTCAGTTGTTTTGTGTCACTCTGTGGTTGTTTTGTGTCTCTTTGCGGTTGTTTTTGTGTCTGTTGTCTGAAGTATTGTGTACTATCTTTTTGGAAAGTGTCTCAGCCTAAGGAGGAAAAAGCAGAACTCTGTGGGGTCCAGAGAGTCCTGAGGTCTTCTGCTCTGTGTGCTCAGACTGTCCCTGCAGAAGATGAAGCTCCACCAGGCCCGGATGCTGCAGGACCTCAGCAGGAAGCAGGAAGCTGTGTCTCTGGAGCAGCGCAGCCTGAGCAGCCGGGCCCGCATCGCCACGGCAACCGCTGCCGCCGCCACGGCCACGCCGCCCCACGTCCCGCTCACAAACTCCAGCGGGAGGAGCGGCCTGCAGCTGCTGGCCCTGTGAGGACGGCCACAAACATCCCAGACAGCTTCTGAGGACACAGCAGGGCCATCTGCGCATGTTTATGCAAAAGCTCTCACGCTGCCTCCTTATCGCCATGCGCTTTAATGGCTCTGTTTTCTGTCACAATGTTTGATCAGCGAGGCTGTTGGGAGTATAAAGCTGTGATAATGAGCCGAACTTTGACTTTGGTTTGGGTAAATAAAGTAGTAAACAGGGTGCTCTCCACAATAAACCCATAAATCTCCCCTGTCTGGGAAGCTGTGCGCTAGAGTGGATGTTTTTGTGTTGGTTTGACCTGGAATTAATTCATTACTCCATCATTTGTGGGGAGTTCAGGAGCTGATTGTTTTTTGGGTTTCTGATATGATTTTGCTCCATTTTGTGTGTTTCTGTGACTCTCTTTGTCGTGTTGGAGATTAGTTAGTTTCTGTAGGATTTTTCTTTTTAGTAGTTTAGTGTTGATATTTGGTAGTTTAGTGTCTCTTTGTGGTAGTTACACCCACATTGTAAGAAGGAGAGATACCGGGGGTCCTTCATACCAGCTGCTGTCAGGATACACCTGCACTACCTGAATCATGTTGTAGCCTCAGTGAGTGGGTCAATATTTTAGTAACTCCCCTTGTAAATTAGCTTTATTTAGGCCTCCGCTAGACTTTGTGCTTTTCCCTTTCTGCCCTTTCTACTGTAAGGTGTGAATTTATCTGCTGTGGGATCAATAAAGTGTTCTATTCTGCTCTATTCTGCTCTATTCTAGAACAGGAGAGCAGGTTAATGTCTTTCCAGCCCCCCCACTCCCCCCCCGATCACTTAGGCAGAGCTCGGCTTCCTGATCGCTCCTATTATTCTGAATCATTTCACTTAAGGGCCCAGATGCTACCTGTCTGCGGCGCTGGGCTGAGAGGGTGATTAGGGCCGGATGGAGCCGGGTTAATGCCTCCTTATCAGCCTGTGATGTCACCGCGCCTCGCCCTCCGCACGCCCACCTCCAGGCCGCCGCCCCCTTCCTCCCACCCCGTCTGTTTTGCCGCCCGAGTCATGAGTCCAGAGTGCAGGATGGCGGCGGAGCGTGCGGGCGCCGGCGGCCCCCGCTGCTAGCATAGATGGAGCTGAGCGTGCCGGAGGGGGTGGCGCTCGCCATCCACTGCTTCACCTTCCTTCTGGGCCTGCCCGCCAACCTGCTGGTGCTCGCCGTTTACGTCCGAAAGGCTCGCAAGCACGGCGCCACGCCCAACGTGGTCTACGCCATCAACCTGTGCCTGGCCAACCTGGCCTTCGTGGTCTGGCTGCCCGTCAA